GCATTTAAAATCAGTCATTAAAAAGAAAAGCTAATAAAATAAACATTAAAAGAAAAAGTACATGGATAAAAGTTACAGTGCAGTCTAAGATGTGAATAGTTCAATTAAAAGCAGCGACAAAAAGAAAAGTCTTCAGCCTGGATTTAAAAGTAGTAAGAGTTGCAGCGGACCTGCAGGTTTCTGGGAGTTCCAGATATTTGGAGCATAATAACTGAACGCTGCTTCTCCATGTTTAGTTCTGACTCTGGGGACAGAAAGCTGACCAGTCCCTGAAGACCTGAGAGATCTGGATGGTTCATCATTTAGCAGGAGGTCAGAAATGTATTTTGGGCCTAAACCATTCAGTGCTTTATAAACCAGCAGCAGTATTTTGAAATCTATTCTTTGACACACAGGAAGCCAGTGTAAAGACTTCAGAACAGGAGTGATCCACTTTCTTAGTGTTAGTGAGGACTCGAGCAGCAGCGTTCTGAATCAGCTGCAGCTTCCTAATAGATTTTTTAGTGAGACCTGTGAAGACACCATTACAGTAGTCGAGTCTACTGAAGATAAAAGCATGGACAAGTTTTTCCAAATCCTGCTGTGACATTAGTCTTTTAATCCTAGATATATTCTTTAGGTGATAGTAGGCTGATTTAGTAACTGTTTTAATGTGACTGTTGAAACTCAGGTCAGAGTTCATGACTACAATAGACTTCTGGCTTCATCTGTTGTTTTGAACATTGCAGACTGAAGCTCAGCGCTAACTTTTATACGTTCTGCCTTGGCTCCAAAAACCATTACCTCAGTTTTATCTTTGTTTAATTGGAGAAAGTTCTGACACATCCAGTCATTGATGTGTTCAATGCACTTACTCAGTGTTTGAATTGGAGCATAGTCTCCTGGTGAAATTGTTATGTAAATGTGTGTGTCATCTGCATAGCTATGGTAGCTTATTGTGTTATTTTTCATTATCTGAGCCAGTGGTAGCATGTAGACGTTAAAGAGAAGAGGCCCCAAGATGGAGCCTTTGAGGAACCCCACATGTCATATTTGTCAACTCAAAGTTGTTTCTGTCCTTTAAGTAGGATTCAAACCAATTCAGAACTGTTTCCGAAAGTCCCACCCAGTTTTCCAGTCGGTCTAGTAATATGTTGTGGTCAACAGTGTCAAACGCAGCACTGAGATCTAATAATACTAACACTGAAGTTCTGCCACTGTCTGTGTTTAAGTGGATGTCATTAAAGACCTTTACAAGAGCAGTCTCAGTGCTGTGGTTTGGACGAAAGCCTGACTGGAACACATCGAAACAGTTATTTAAATGCAAGAAATTACTCAACTGTTGAAAACAACTTTTTCAATGATTTTACCTAGAAATGGCAGGTTTGATATGGGCCTGTAATTGTTCATTACTGAAGCATCTAGATTATTCTTTTTTAAGAGCGGTTTAATGACTGCAGTTTTCAGGGCCTGTGGAAAAATACGTGAGTAAAGAGATTTGTTTACTATATGAAGTAGATCTGAGGCCATGCAAGGCAAAACATCTTTGAAAAATCCTGTTGGAATAATATCAAGGCAGCAGGAGGAGGATTTCAGAAGTTGTATAATGTCCTCTAGGTTTTTATCATTAATCTGATGGAACTGTGTCATGGTGTTTGAGTTGATGTTAAGTGGAGATAGGGATAACACATTTGCTGTTCCTGATGCAGAGGCACTGACTGCTTGTCTGATTTTCTGAATTTTGTCAGTGAAAAAGGCAAAATCATTGCACGCCCTGGTGGATAGAAATTCAGAGGCTACTGACACTGGGGGGTTAGTCAGTCTGTCGACGGTAGCAAACAAGGCACGTGCGTTGTTTTTGTTTTTGGTAATGATGTCAGAGAAGAACGATTGTCGTGCGTTTTTCAATTCCAAATTATAAAGGCCAAGTCTCTCTTTATAGATTTCAAAGTGAACCTGGAGATTTGTTTTTCGCCACCTGCGTTCAGCTTTTCGACATTCTCTTTTTTCTGTTTTCACGCTCATGGCCTTTCTCCATGGAGATATTTTCTTGCCAGACACTTCCTTTACCTTAGTTGGAGCAATGGCATCTATAACATTTTTAATTTTTGAATTAAAATGATCTACTAGCTCATTTACTGAGATGTTATGCAGGGGCAAGTGTGGAAGAAAAATTCTGAGTAAACATTTCCCTAGTATTTTCAGTTAAATATCGCTTTGTGGTTACCTCTTTTTGAACATTTTTGTGAACAGAAATAGAGCTCTCAAAGAAAACACAGGAATGGTCAGAGAGTGCAACATCAGTCACCACAACCTTAGAGATATTCAGACCCTTTGAGATAATTAAGTCCAGAGTGTGCCCCTTATTGTGCGTGGGCTCCGTCACATGCTGAGTCAGTCCATAGCTATCAAGAACACAAAACAGTTCTTTAGCCCCTCTGTCCTGGGGGTTGTCAACATGGATGTTAAAATCACCAACAATGACTAGACGGTCAAAGTCAATACACACTATAGACAGCAGTTCAGTAAAGTCATCAAAAAAGCTTGCACAGTATTTGGGTGGTCTATAGATATTTAGGAACAGAGCTCGAGAGGAGCATTTTAGCTGAAGGGCCACATATTCAAAAGAATCAAAGTTTCCATACGATGTCTTCCTGCATTGAAGGGAATCATTGAACAGAATAGCAACTCCACCCCCTTTCTTATGCATTCTTTCCTGACTCATAAAACTAAAGTTGGGAGGGGTTGATTCGATAAGAACAGCTGCACTGTTATTTTGTTCAATCCAAGTTTCTGTTAAAAACATAAAATCGAGATTGTGCTCAGTGATAAAATCATTGATTAAAAATGTTTTTCCTGCCAAAGACCTGACATTTAATAAAGCTAGTTTAAGTTTGTTAAACACACCATCAGTCATGTTTTTTGTAACAAGCTGTGGCTGACATGGAATCACTGCTAAATTAGATAAACTCACACAAACGTTTGAGCGCTTCCTGTTTCTATGATTCACCGCTCTTAATCTATTACCTATCAACACAGATATCGGCAAAGCTACTGGCAGGCAGGGCCCCGACATGTCCTGGAAAGAGTTGAGAGTGCCATACGCCCTTGAGCCTGGACCCATCATAAGTCAGAACAAGGTCGAGAGTGTGATTATAGCAGTGGGTTGCTTTATTTACACTCTGACAGAAACCAACAGAATCTAATATAGAGTTAAATGCAACAGTAAGGCTATTTTTATCATCGTCAACATGAATATTATGTTGAAAGGCCACTTGGTCTAGGAGGCGAGTTCGAGTATTGACTTGCGTATATTCAAGAAATCAGATACTTGCTCGTTCCATTCAGGTGTTTTGAGAGGTTCAATAGATCAGCTGGCGGCCCACTGCCGACGTGCAACATTTGCACGGTATTTAAAACAAATAAACAAACAAGATCCCTCGGTCTTACGGATGTGTGCGGTCAAAACCTTTTTCCAACTTCCTCTCTAGACTTCCTGCTGTGTCATGCTGGCAGCGTCATTTATACCTGAGCACGCCCCTACGATTGCTTTGTATAAATAATAACAAAACATAAACTAGAGCTGTCCATAAGCAAGATAACACGTTACAAAAACAGTATAATAACAATTCATAGTTATTCAGCTCATTTAAGTTAAATTAAAGAATATTCAATTGGCTCACAAAACCATAATTCATTACCATAAAATAATGTGCCTAAATGGCTCTTACAAGGATATTATATAGCCTACATTAATGGTGCATTTCCACTACAGCGCGGTTTAAGCGTGCCGTACCCGGCCCGTTTTTGGTTGCGTTTCCACTTGACCTAGTACCGGCTAGCGGGTACTATTTCACAGTTTTTCTGGCCCCATAAAATCGAGATTCTTAGCAGGGCCAACAACCAGGCTGAGTCGGGATGTGTATGCTAAACTAGAGAGAGAATCGCTGGCAAGGGGGCTACAGCTACAACAAAATGATCATATTTGACCGTGATTTAATTGTAATACACGTTTCAAAATGATGCCGAAGTAACAACATACTGATACCGGTTAGTAAAAACCATGAATTAATGCTTTGACAAGTCTGCAGACAGACGGCAGGCGAAAAACCTTTTAAAATGCTTGTTTTCTGAATGGAGATCGGCTAAGCTAACGTTGTATATGCTCCGACCGTCCACACTCACAACAACGGCCTACAGACATAAATAAACCAGCGACTGTATTCTCCATGACACAGACAGTCTGTGGTTTGTACTTGTTTAACTTTTGTCTAGTTTCTAGTTTCAGCTAACGGCTGATGTTGTTTTTCTCTGGTTCGCATTGAAGATGACGTCACGGCTCCGCCTACACTGTGTTACTATAGTTACTGCCCCAGCTACTAAACTGTAATGGAAACACAGCATAAAGTGAGCCAGTGCTAACAAGGCCTAACTATATACTAAGCCGAGCGAGGCCCTGCAATGCTCCATAAGGGTGTAAGGAATGGAAATAGTCTGGTAGATTTAATTAAAACTCGTACATAATTAAGGCCAAATGGTCCAAAATGTGAACATAATACAAAAGTTAATCTGTCAATTTTCTGGCACTGGCTTAATGGTTACCTAACAAAACAAATCAATGTTGACTTGCATGTTAAAAATTATCATTCATTTTACACACCAGGGTTCTGTAAGACAATGATTACTGTGTATAAAACCAAAGGTGGAATCATACTCATTAATAATCCTAATGATCTTTACTTTGTTTAAAATTGAGGTATTTGTGCTTCACTTTAGTGTTTCCTTATACTCAAATTCAATCAATATATAAATACTGTACCTTTTTGCAACACAAGCTTAACATTTGATTGACAACTGGAGTTAAGGTATCTGGATTTATTCTTAAAAGTATATGCTGGCTAGATGGATGGATGGATAGATAGATATACATAGATACAAATTAATAATTGGAATCAAAAGTGGCATCTGTCCTTTCTGACATTTTTAGTAACATTTTCTGGTTATTTTGTCTGTCGGCTCAGTTCAGAATGAGCATGAAGCCGCTTTGTGTGAAGCTGTCGGTCCAGCCGTCCAGAGGGCTTGTGGATGAGAAGTTCACCATCTTGGTCCAGAACCTCCTCCCTGGGTTCCAGCTGACCATCCACGCCCTCCACCAGTGTGAAGACGGACACAGCTGGGAGGCTTTTGCTCACTACACTGCCGACGCCACCGGGACTGTGAACGGTAAGACCCTTGTTGGGAAAATACTGAATGTACTCTTCCAATATCAGAGTCCACATCCTAACAAAGGTATCCCAACTGTAGCTGTGTACATGACAGGATGTATGATTAGCTAGAAGAGCATCAGGACTGTTTTAGGCATATGATAGCTATGTGATTAACATGATGATTCAGCCTCTATGGAGATAGACATATGACAAGCATGATCATTTCTGGCGTGGAGCTAATCTGAACTAAACATTGAATACTGCTTTCTATTCCTCCATCTTGTGACTGTGTAACTCCCTCTCTTGGATATCAGCATGTGAAGGACACTGTTCAGGAACTAGTTGATGCTCTGTATGTGATGACTACTTCCATTCTGGAGAGGATCACAGATACATGGATCCTGAGGTTGAAGCTCAAGCCATTGATGAGTGATATTTTTCAAACAACCCTCAAAAAATGTTGGTCAAGTTTGTGTAATGGGAAGTTATCAACGGTGAGTCGGCAATCTTTGGAGGATTTCAGCATCCGTTATCTTTGTGCTAACCTGTAAGGAGAGCGGAAAAGCGTTAACCAGTTCAGCTTAAATCTCTTTGCCATGGTCAGTAAGCACTGTTGATGGATGTTACAGTCAATCCCAAGACCAACAACCAAAACAATAAAAAGTACCCTGAGATTACATTTCATTTTTTTCTCCAACATGGAAACTTAACGATGGGGAGGTAGTAAACATCAGCAAAAGACGCCGAATGCGTTGGGTCGCAGCCAACTGATGACTTTTAACTTCAAGTGTCAAAATGAATTGCAGAACCTCAGTTGGAAAAACCACTACACAGGGGATACACTTTTAAACATGTAATGTCAAAGTGTACACAAATGTACCGATGGATAATTTGTGCGTGATAAACAAACTATTTTTTACCATTTGGTTAGCATTAGCCATCTTTGTACAGATGAAAGCTGTCATTGGGTCTGTAGGTCCTGTACCCACCTGTTGTAAATTGGACATGGTCCTCCAAAGATTTCCAAACACCAGATACTGTGATCGGACCTTTCTTCTCTTAAAAGGATCAATGTCGTTAATTTACCTTGATTTTGTAATATAATGCTCCTCTGCCTCTGTTGGGTGCTTCTTTCTGTGAGGGTATTTATCTTTGGCGCCTACTTTATTTGTTTTGGATTCAAAACAGCTGACAGATGACCGGTGAAAGTTGGTTGATATTGACGGCTGCTAATATTCTCCAAAAAACAGAAGCCCTAAAAAGATGGCCATTTCGCCCAAGAATGCATCAAAATTCCCATTCTCTATAGTTTAAAAACCAATGTTATGCACTTTTACGATACAGTTTCAGAGGATCCCAGTCTGGACGGGACATATTCTGGGGTTGAACAGATGGGTCTGCTGTGGAGTCTCAGACCAGTTCCAGGCAGCAAATATGGGCTCCGGTAGGCCAACATTGGTACCAAATAATACTTATCAATTCAAAGTCAGTATTAGAGTTGACTCTTTCTCCTCATCCCTCAGAATGAGAAAGATGAACGTCCAGACTCCCATGGTGGTCACGATCTCGGTGTACCAGGGTCACCGGACGGAGGGCTTCTTGGATCAGGTGCTGCTGGCCAGTGTGATGGTAGAGCGATGGTACATGGCGCCCGGCGTTCAAAGAGTCCCGATAACAGACGGCAAACTCACTGCGACCCTCTTCCTGCCCTCAGGTAGGACTGGGGGATAGTTTATAGGTCCCCTACTATGCACAATCCACTTCTTCATGTCTCTTCTACATCAACATGTGTCCCCTCTTCTCCATGTCTCTTCTACATCAACATGTGTCCCCTCTTCTTCATGTTTCTTCTACATCAACATGTGTCCCCTCTTCTTCATGTCTCTTCTACATCAACATGTGTCCCCTCTTTTTCATGTCTCTTCTACATCAACATGTGTCCCCTCTTCTTCATGTCTCTTCTACATCAACATGTGTCCCCTCTTCTTCATGTCTCTTCTACATCAACATGAGTCCCCTCTTCTTCATGTCTCTTCTACATCAACATGTGTCCCCTCTTCTTCATGTCTCTTCTACATCAACACGTGTCCCCTCTTCTCCATGTCTCTTCTACATCAACATGTGTCCCCTCTTGTTCATGTCTCTTCTACATCAACATGTGTCCCCTCTTCTTCATGTCTCTTCTACATCAACATGTGTCCCCTCTTCTTCATGTCTCTTCTACATCAACATGTGTCCCCTCTTGTTCATGTCTCTTCTACATCAACATGTGTCCCCTCTGTGGAAAGAGACTCTGAAAGTTTCAGGAACAAAGATTCTCTCTCTTTTTGATCCATTTCTATAAAAACCTGTCTGAAAATGTGCTGATCAGATTTTGGCCACTTTATGATGTCATAACGATGTTTTGTCTTGTGTAACCATTAGCCAATCACCAACCAAGGTAACCCCCCCCCCCCCCCCCCCCCCCTTATCACCTGAATCTCCTCCCAGAGCACCATTGAGTTCTTTGTAACCAAATGTCTCTCAGAGGGGCGTGGGGAGGGGCTCCTTATTTTCATCTAAAGTAACAGAATCAGCACTTTGGAAACGGGGCTGAAACAGAGGGGATTATGGGTAATGCTGCAATGATCCTGTTTGGTGTTTCAGCCAATCAGAGACAGGTTCTGGATATATCTGAGACCTGTGATATATTGATGAAAAACAGTATAATAGGGGACCTTTTAAGGGAAGTGTCCTCTGGGGGGAGTTTAGAGGGGACGAGGTTCAAGGCCCTGAATTGAATCAAATTCTATCGTGGAAGACTTTGTGATATCAGCAAATATCGTATCATTGTCCGAAGAATGAAGATTATATTGTATCCATTCTGATTTGTCTTTGGTGTCTTGACTCGTCTGAAGGACCTGGACCTTTCCCCGGACTCTTGGACCTTTGGGGGGGCGGAGGGAAGTTGGTGGAGTACCGGGCAGCGCTGCTGGCCTCCCATGGCATCGCCTCGATGGCCCTCGACTACCTCACACCTCAAATCACTAAGGAAACTGGGAAAATGGTGGACAATGATTACTTTGAGGTGAACCAGATGAGCTTTTTTTAAACTCCCAAGAACATGAACATCTCATTGCAGTTGCGTTTGTGTCCATCTGAAAGTTATATTTACTCTTAATAAGATGTACAAAAGCTTTATCCTCAACAACAGTGAGGGAAATCCGTTAAAGCATACAGTTCTACATCAACAATGTATGACTGTATTGTTGACATATTTTCCTTCTGCAGACGGCCTATAGAGTTCTGGAGCAACACCCTCAGATCCTCGGCAGCAGGATCGCAATGTTGGGTCTTTCTTTTGGCTCCACTGTCACTCTCAGAATGGC